GTATCATGTTCATGTGTATCTTTATCTTCTACTAATTCAGATGTTTTACTCTTGCAATTGTTGCACAAATACTCCATGGATTTCTCTTTCTCTTCAGATAACACGTTCTCTAGAGAAAAAGTTTGAACACCAATATCTTTTCGAACAGGTGTACAAGGAAACCTGAATGATGAACGCCCCAAAGGGGAACTTTTTCTATGTTTATCAATTACCTCAAGACCATGATGTAAACTCGCAGTCAAACGATCAGTTTGACCATGGGAAAGCATGATAGCTTCTGAAATATTGTTTGTAAGGGCATTTTGGGAAGCAGATAATGTTGAGGAAGTCCTCAAACTTTTCAAGCTGCTACTAATAACTGTTGGTGAAACACTGGAAGTTGGAGACTTGAGAATAGGGGATACTTCAGATGGTAGTATTGTTAGATTAGAAGTGTCAGTTGAAACTTCACACTTGTCAACTTGTTCAGATATTTCTTCTTTCATCTTGACATCTGTGTAAAACAAATTGTGGTTAATGCTTTCAGTTTTAGACATTTTTGGCTTAAAATCAGTAGTTAGGGTTTCACATGATCATATCTACCTGTTTCCATATTTTTGCAAGCTTCAGTGGCTTCCAAAAGAATTTGTTCAGCTTCCTCAACAATTTCCATTTCTTCATCCTCATCATCTTCCATATGAGGTAGCATCATAGGACGATTTAAGCTGTATTTCAGAAGATTCAAACTTCTACGTGCATTCCACCCTGTATTTGGATCAGGTGAATTGTTGTTTTCCTTCATGCGTATTAGTTCATCCTGTTATATATCAATAATTCCAATCAGTAGCTGTATCATAAACTTGAATTTTAAAAAAAAAATGGAAAATGTACCTTTAGTTGTCGAATGACTTCACGTAACGTGTTCACATCCTCCTGCATTTGTTCATTAACAACAGCCTTGTTCTTGATAGCTTTTGCACGTTTTGCAAATCTCAATGTACTAAAAGTCTCACTCTTACAGCTGTTTTCATTATATTATAAAAAGTTTAAAAACACACACAGAAATAAAAGGATCAAAAAGAGAATGTCATGTTATTGTTACCTTTCTGAAGGTGAAATGGCACAGACCATTGCAAGTTTTGCATTTCCACCAAGAGATTCCTGCAACAAAAATGTCAGCTTGGAGTCTCTATATGGAATGTGCCTTTGCTTTCCTGTTTGGGAAACCTCTGCTAGAATGTTAATCAAGTTTCTGAAATTGTCAAACATAAATGAACTTTAGAAAAGATCAATAGAAATGAAATCAATGAAACATAATATAAATCATGTGACATACCCAAGTTGTGAAAGCGAACGATTAATATTCCCAGCTTCTTTTAAGCGTTCCCCAGCTGCACCTGTTGACTTTTGTCTCTCGGATCCAGCAAGGTCAACAAGATTTATTCGACTTGTTTTGAGGGAACTCAAGCCATCTTTGCTCTATAAATTTTGAATTGTGGATATGAAAACCCAAGACAAAATTACTATATAGGACACCACAACTATTATTACCTTGCATCGTGATTCAACAACACAAGTGAACACACTGTGAGAGCGTGAACTCTCCATATTTATACTTGTAGCCCCTGTCCTTCTATTTGACAACCCCTGAATACAATTATCATATTAAGAAAAACATAAAACAGAGACAAATAAAGAATCTGAATATGAACATTTTCTGATGACTCTGGCACTTATTATAATGGCAACCTTTCATTAAACAAGAGTAAAGTATCCAAACCTTTTTCAGAAGTTTTGTCACATCTTTTATACTGGAAACAGACTCCTCTGTTAAATTTTCAACATATACACCTGTTTTAGTATCTTCTCTTATTTGAAGGTTTCTTTGAGCTGGATCCAACAAATCAGTAATTTGTTCATTATAGATCTGTAAATACAGTTTCCCAGAATTAAGATTTAAGATAAATGTAAAAGAAGTTCAATTGTCCATGATAAATAAATCGTCATATTACCTCAAGAAAAGAACAGCGGCATTGATACATGAGTTGCTTGTCAGCATGTTTATTTTGTTCCTATACAAATTTCCATTAACTCATCAGTGATAGAAGTTAGGAGAAGTGAACATCAAGTTAATTTAATATAGACTTGACAGGTGAAACAAAGGCATAACATGCAAACTCACCTCAGTTATGCGAAAAAATAATCTTTCAAAAACACGAGGTGTCAATCCTTGTTGATCACTAGATGACTCGTCTTCCAACAATGCATTGGAAGGCCCCCATATCGTGTAGGTCTTTCCACTCCCGGTCTACTCAAATTTTATTCATGGTGTGTAATTAATATAAGTAGCAATGAAAATGAAAGAAAGAAAGTTGTTACATTTATAGTCAGCACAAGGAACACAAAGAATACCTGCCCATATGCAAACACAGAGCTATTGAATCCAGCAATACAATTTTCAACAAGGGGAGCTCCTACAAGCTGGAATATATCTACCTGTAAAAGCAAATTGAATGCAACAGAAACAGAATAACATTTCATCAGTGTTAAAATGTGTATTTATTTCATGTAAAAAATAATAGAAACCTGCCTGAGTTGATGCTGCATCAGCTACAGAATCAAAAGTGAATCTTTGCCCTAGAATGGACAAAGAATCGCCAGATGTCTTCTGTAATATAATTTCCCCCTCTTCTTCGTTTTTGCTTGATGGCCTCATTCGCACAATAACCTAATTTGAAGAGGGTCATGACAAAATTAAATATATTCCTAGATGTGTAAAGGCTGCTTCTTGTATAAATTCTTGAAGAACTCCACAGTTTAAAAAAAAAAAAAAGATGATCCCTCATAAATTTACCTTCACTCCTGTATCCGAAGATCCAGCAACACCATTTTCCTGTGGCAATTCATTGCTAAGCTTCCGCTTGAGAGAACTCGAAGGAGGAGGTCTCGGTGGGAGTGGAGATTTCAGTTTACTGGCAGCGGCGGGAGATGGTTTACATGTAAACGATGGAGACGGAAATGAATCTGGAATGGCGTTGACGTCTGGAGGTGGAACATTTTCGCTGGAATATTTCTGTTTTCGACTAGAAGATTTACTCTGCTTTATCGAACTAGGGTTTAATGGTTGCATTACGCGCTTCATCTTCCAAAAAAACCTTGTTCAGACAAGTGATCAGAGAGTGTGAGAGAGAGAGAGAATTAGGGTTCCACGGAGAACTACCGAGAAATTATGAGATGCCAGCAAAGAGAGGGATCGCCAGGGAGGAAGAGATGTAGCCGTTTGAACTTTGAAAGGGGCTTTGGCGGATCGATGATTTCAAATCGGGATCCACGAAATTGTTTTAATTGTTCTTTACTGCACCCCCTTGAAATATGAATGAATTTAAGTCTTGCCCTTTACATTTGATTATTATTATTATTCTTAGATTAAACTACAAATTTGGTTCCTATTGTTTGCTAATTTTTTTTTTTTTTTTTTTAAGATTCTGTCGAAATAGTTTTAATTTGATATCTCTTGTCTAAAAACATGATATTGTGTATTTAGTCTCCTAAGTTAATATCCATCTATTATGTTTCATTAAGTTGCTCACCAACCCCTATAGAGGGTATTTTTGTTTTTCATGTGTCTTCCAATATTTAATTTTTTTTTCTTTAAATAAGATTTAACATCTCCTTGTTGCCACTTCATAGACCTAACGTTCTCTCCCTTTTGAAAGAAATCGACACGGTGCTCTACTTATTTTGAAAATTGGCTACTATGTGAACATATTGGACTTCAGTTAACTCTGATCGATGATTTTGTAGGTAACAAATTTCATAAAATATCTCTAAATTTTCTCTGTCGGTGCTAAATTCAAATTAAAAAAATAACGAACGTAAAATGTGGGCTTTTTGGTTGGGTTGATCCACTCGTGTGTTGATGATCAATTAGTATAATACATGTTGTTGAAAACAATCAACAATCATGAGGTTTCGTTGGGGTATTTGAAAGAAAGAAGCAATAAAAATAAAGATGTATTTGTAGTTTCTTACAATTTGGGTTTTTTTATGGGTGTGTGTTGTTTTAGAATTAAAGGTTAGGTGTTAGAGATTTCTTGGTTGTAATATTTGGAAAAGAAAAAACTTTCACAAGGTTTGTTAAACCGAATTGTAAAGTTTAAGTTGTTTTGTAGCTCCTTAAATTTTCTAATAATAACCTCTTTAAATGTTAACAATAGTTATGTCATTTTTAGTCATTTTTTTAAGTTTATAATGCAAACATTAGATTGTATCATATCCTAAGATATAATATAAAACAAATATTTGATTGTATCAACAACAACAATATAAAATAAACATTTTAATATACCGTATCCTAATCAATAACCATATGAATGTTTAATATAAACATTTATATATATATATATATATATATATATATATATATATATATATATATATATATATATATATATATATATAAAAGAATGTTTTTCGTCGTTATTTTTCATTCATATGTTTGCTTCGTATGGTTCAATCAAATCTTTATTTTATATATATATATATATATATATATATATATATATATATATATATATATATATATATATATATATATATTAAAGGAGGTTACTTTTTAGGAATAGTGAATTTATCTGTTATTTGGCAAGAATGGTCCTTCTGTTTTCTTTGTTGTTTTCAAGGATCTTATTGTTCTTCATTAATTTTGTTGAGGATCTTATTTGCTCTTTCTTCTCAACTAATCACACGTCTGTTCTTTCATCTTTATCTGTATTTTCGAACCTTGTGCATTAAGTACTCTTTCTTCTTCTGCTTCCTTCCTTTCTCTGCATTCAGTACTCTTTCTTCCTTTTCGCAGTTCAGACGCCTCCATTTCCTTCTTCTGCTTCCTTCCTTTGTGCGCCGGTAAAATGTTTGCTTTCTATTCCGTTTTCTTATCTTCTAATTGTCACGTTTTTGTATTTTCGTTCCCGGTGTAGTTTTTTTTTTTTTTTTTGTGTTCGTCGCGTTTAAATTTTGTGATGTACGCTCCGCGGAAACGACTTTGTCGTCATGGTGGCCCCTCAACTGTTGCTGGTGACGCCGCCTCAACGTCGGTTGTTCCTTATGTTCAGATTGCTCATGCTACTCGTCGTGGTCGACGGCCTGGGCGGATGAGGCTTCCATTCTTCCTGAGTATGTTGTGTTGACCTGGGGGATAGTCGTTGTGTTTGCGAGTATTGTGGTCATGGCCGGTGTAGGGCAGGGGCAAGATGGGTAGTGGAACAGGGCCCAAAAATTTTAGGGGCCCATTTTTTTTATATGTTATACACTTTGGCGTTTCAAACTCCCGATCTCGTCGCGAGGGTCATGATTCCGATTCCAGATACCATCGTTCTCCGTTCGATCGAGGTAACAATATCATAGTATTTTTTATCTCTAGCAGTTTCGTTATCAATGTCGTCTAAGTACAAAAACTAGATGCTTCGATTGATCTTCTTTATTGTTAGATATTGTATCAAATTTAACCTTTCATGAATATGATCTGTGTCGATTTGATTATTATTACCAATTCTTTCCTCTTAGGCTATGAGACGTATTTCCAATGGTTTTTGGTTGAATCAATTTTAATTTTGTGGTGAATCGTAATGTTACTCCGATGATTAATTTGTTGGTTTGGGGTTAAGTAATTTTTGGATGTTTCCTAATCAGTAAGTAAATTTGGATTGCTGCAAATTTTAGGTCAATAGTGCTTGTCTTGGATCACTTCATGTACAGGTAAATGTTTGAGGCTTAAACGTAACCAATCTTACATCCAAAATACAATGTAACTCATTTTCTTCCAAGTGATGAGGTACGGAGTACCCAAAATGCTTGAATGATACAATATCTTGTCATCACCGTTTCCTAGCATTAGCAAACCATTTTGTTTTTCTTTTGTAAATTTGTGATTTTGCTGCCTTTTGATGCAGTCATAGATTTTGCCTTTGGTTGATGTCAAATTGTTTCAAATGAGGGTAACACCCAAAAATAAGTAAAACCTGATAAATGCAATAAATGAACTCATTAAAGAAAATCTCAAGCTTTAATGAATCCAAGAAACAGCAAAGGGTAAAACCCATAATTTTTAGAAAACTGGAAGTCTTTTATAGCATTTGCCCCATGAAAAAATTAGATTTCTGAAACTTATGCCCTTTTCACTTTGAGTATAAGTCGTAACTTCTTATTGTTCACAAAGTGTTTGATAAAATATCCTTATGTGATTTGAAGATAAGTTTGTTGCTCTAAAAAACTTATGATTTAGACTTTCACATGAGAAAAACATATTTCTAAAACTTATCATCGTTAAAAAAAACCTTTAATTTATATAATTTAATTCGTTATACGTTATGCCCTAAGGGCTTTTTTTTTGCATCCCGTCCTGGGCATTTGAATCCTCAGGACCGACCCTGATTGTGGTGCCTTTTTTTTGGTTTTCTGAAAGGAGTATGAAATTATCTACGCGTAATCATCCAAGGTATAGTCGTTGTTGCAGGTCTGGTGAAGTTATCCTATCCTATCCCTCTACGTTTCCATCTGAATACATGGCGCTTTTTCGTAATAACAGCTTCATGAGGAACATTAGGGCTTATAATAGTATGTTCTCTATGACATCTTTTGGCGCTACTGTAGATGATGAAGTGAACCATGGTCGTGGTCCCTATGTTTTTAAGGTTTCAGGACAAATTAGTCATAGGATCGGTTCCCTCTGCCCTGATGTTGTAAAGGGGCCTAGAGTTCTCCAGTTATATCTATTTGATACAGCTAACGAAGTTTAGAACAGGTTGAAATCGTTTAAAAATCCTCAGAAAAATCTTCTGGATGAGGGCGTCATTAGGTTTCTGGTGTCCTTTCTCAGTGAGAATAACGAATATGTACAGACGTTTAAGACTGCAAAACAGTTTGTGGATGAGATGAACATCCCATCATATTCAGTTCGTCTGTTTAATGACATTGTTGATCGTAGGTATGATTTACCTACACCTGGATCTTTAGGTTGTATTGTTACAGGTGACACGGCTGATGGTGATCGTTACGACATTGTCATTCATTCCAGTACAGGTCGTCCTCAGCATATTAGTAATCTACACCCTACTTATATGCCTCTGCATTACCCGCTTTTGTTTCCATACGGTGAGCCCGGATGGTGTCCGACCATGAAGTTAGGAAACAGAACTAATGATGGGGCTAAAAACCTCACGGTAAATATGTATTATGCATACCACCTTCACGAGCGTCAGTACATATGGTCTGCTATTCTTAATTCTTCCAGATTGTTTCAGCAGTATTTAGTCGATGCGTTTACATGTATCGAGGATAGTCGTCTCCCATTTTATGCAACACATCAGGAAACCCTTCATTCCGAATATGTTGGAGGCCTTTATGATGCATTATCGAAAGGTGATAGGGAGTCTCGAGCAGTTGGAAAACGGGTATTCCTACCAGCATCTTTTACTGGTGGTCCACGTTATATGTATAGCCACTATCAAGATGCTTTAGCGATCTGTAGGGTACACGGAAATCCACAGTATTTCATTACATTTACATGCAATGTCAAATGGCCGGAGATTACACAGTATATGGACATGCATGATCAGAGAGACCCGCAAAGCAGAGCATATATCATTGCTAGAGTATTTCAAGCTGAAAGTACAATCCTTCATAAATTACCTAAAGCAGGATAAACCTTTTGGAGAGATCGATGCTTGTACGTATAACCATTATTCGTATTTATCAATTATTACTTCATTTTATAGTGTGCTCAGTATTGTTTCCCAATAGTTTATAACCATTTGTTAATTCCCCTTTCGATTCGTTTCCCTTTTCCTATGTAACAAATTTTTATATCTATGTAGATTTGTACACAATTGAATTTCAAAAAAGAGGGCTTCCCCACTGTCACACATTAATTTGGGTAAATGATGAATACAAGATAAAAACTCTGGAGGAATTTGATGTGTTTATTACAGCAGAACTGCCAGATCCATTACTAGAGCCTCAACTATATGCAACTACAACAACGTTCATGATCCATGGTCCGTATGGATTGCTCAATGAAAGATCTCCATGTATGAAGGATGGAAAGTGCAGCAAACATTTCCCAAAGCCATTCCTGACCACTACAGTTCTTTGATACAGAAGGTTACGTTCGCTACAAACACGGACCAGATGCCCAACACACAAAATCATGTGGAATCATTATCCACAATGGATATGTTGTGCCATATAACAAGAAACTTTGTTCGAGATTTGAAGCTCATATAAATGTAGAATACTGTGGGTGGAACATGATGATTAAATACCTTTTTAAGTATATCTCAAAGGGAACAGATCGTGTCAGATATATCATTCAAAAGGATGTAGGTGTCAATGATGCTGGACCAAGCAACATTGTAAACGAACAACTGGATGTCATATGTCAAGAAAAGCAACGCATCGATGAGATAAAAACATATTTGGATGGTAGATATATTTGTCCACATGAAGCAGCATGGCGAATATTTGATTTCCCTATACATCACCGAAATCCAGCGGTTCAAGTACTCTAAGTTCATGAAGAAAATAGTCAGTCAATTCTCTTCAAGGAAGACACAACAATAATACAAGTTCTCCGTAATCCATCTGCTACTAGGACAACCCTTTTAGCATGGTTTGAAAGCAACGCAAAGGACCCGACAGGTCATCAGCACACATATATTGAGTATCCAAAATACTACAAATGGGATGGCCCTTCCAAATCGTGGGATAGGAGAGCAGCTGTTTCATCTAACATGGTTTGTGGTCTTGTATTTGTGCATCCATCATCCGGTGAATTGGTCTACTTGCGGTTGTTGTTGTGTCACCAAAAGGGTTGTACCTCTTTTGAAGACCTCTGAACCGTATCTGGTTATATTCACCCTACGTACAGATCTGCATGTAATGCGCTTGGAATCATAGGGGATGACATTGAGTGGCTTGTTGCGTTCAATGATGCTTTTACATGGGCAACACCATTCCAGCTCCGTCTTCTTTTTTGTAGTTTGTTATTATTCTGTGAAGTTACAGATCCAAACCTTTTGTGGCAAAAGGCTTATGAAAAAATGTCAGACGACTACATTTATATATTAAAATCAACATTACCTGATAAGGCTTTCTCTGCAACAGACGATGTAGTTCGTCAGCAATTACTTCATGATCTAGAAGACACGCTCTGTTCTTCTATTCCAGCAAGATCACTTACTCATTTCAATTTGCCCATGCCATCACCTGTTATGCATACAATTCTCCAAAATCAACTACTCCTGGAAGAGATGACTTATAACAAAAGGGTTTTGGCAGATCAGCATGCACAATTGCTTCCACAACTAAATACGCAGCAGAGGCAATCTATGGAAATGTTGTTTCCTGTATAGAAGCTAACAAACAGATTCTTATGTTCGTTTATGGCCATGGTGGTACCGGAAAGACATTCCTTTGGACAACTATTCTTTCTTTTTTTTCGATCACTCGAAAAGGTTGTTCTTTGTGACAACCATCAAATTCTGGTCAAGTCAAAGTCAAATAAAGTCAACACATCAGACCGGTCAACCGAACTAACCCTTGTGTACTAGGGCTCATGTTAGGTAAATACTATACAACTCGCTAATCTAATGAGAAGTCATAAATTGAAAAGTTCGTACATCTAGATTTCTTTAACCTAAAATTGTGATAAGTAACGAACCAAACCGATAAAACAATATTTCATACTCATCGGGAGTGTGTAAGGTCCTTAAACATGGCTTAACGGGGTTTACAGACCTTGCATTGCGAAGCCGGACACTCACAAATGTCACACACGAAACCTCTCTCAATCGTTTTCACTCTATCTCTCTTTATTTAGAATCTCTCCCAAATCTCTCCAATTATGTCAAATCTCTCCCAAATCTCTCTTTGTATGAGAAATCTCTCCAAGAATGTGAAATCTCTCTTTGTATGAGAAATCCCTCTAAGTATGTGAAAGCTCTCCCAAATCTCTCTTTGTTTGAGAAATCTCTCCAAGAATGTGAAATCTCTCCCAAATCTCTCTCAAAAGTTCCTTAAACTTTTTATAGTCTTTCGGGTCATCCCGACCCTTAACCGGGTCAAAAACGGCTTAAAACGGGGTAAAAACGAGTAAAATAGGCTTAAGGACCCGAAACCCCTCTTAAGGAGCCGAAACCCCTCTTAGGAACCGAACTCATCAGAAGCGAAAGCATTAGAAGCGAAGGCATTAGAAGCGAAGGCATCAGAGGCGAACTAGTCAGAACCGATCCTCGCCTGAAGGACCGAACCTCACCTGAAGAACCGAACTCGAAGCTACTGTTCATTTCGGTCTATTTCTCTCCAGATGCTTCGGACCGAGCCTCCTTCTCACTTCTTGCTGTTTCGCCTCATCTCGCTTCGGCCCAGCATCAGAAGGGAGAGAAGCCTCGCAGGACGAGCATTTCTTCCCGATTTCGACTACGACTTCATTTTAACTTCTTTTTTTAATTATTTTAACGTGGGATTTTCACACAAAACTTTATTTTAACATATAAGGCCCCATATTTATTAGGTATCCACGTTTTTGGGGATAAACCTTATCCAAGAAGAGTAGGTGAAGTACAAGAGGTGGGGTGTTGACTTTCCTTTATTCTATAACACAAGCAACCACTCCCATACCCACTCCATGTCACTATTCCCCATCAGCCCATGCCTAGTTATTTCATGGTACTTTTCCCACCATTTTTCAGCCACACACTTGGTCAAGGGTTAGAAAACCCTCCCCTCTCCTTACATTTCTTTCATTTCCTCTCATTCCTCCATCAAGAACAAACTTCACTTTCTCTCATCTTCTCTCTCTAAAATTCGAGATTCAAGGCTATACTCCAAGATTTTCTTCTACTTTTGGTAAGTATTAACATCCTCCATATGATTATTTCACTTCCTTCTACTCAAATCATAGATTGCTTACCCAAATATCGTCATTTGGTTGTTAGATCCTCAAATCTTTAAGCATCTCCCAAGTGTTCTTGAGTTGAACACTTCTTTTCTCCATCATCCATCTACTGAAATCACTCAAGGTGAGTTCATACCCCTGTATTTTCATGTTTTCTTAAGTTTTAAGGGGGGGGGGGGGGGGAATACAAGTTAAAACACCAAGAACATAACTAAACTTTTCTAACCGCCTTCATCAGAAAAGTACAACTCCATTCACGGACTGTTTTGGGCAACTTAAACATTTTTGTTTTCAAAACTGTTTTATGTGTAAGTAGTTCCAGGTCTTAGCTTTAAAATGACTACTTGCACATCTCCATATGATTTTTCTACAATTTATGGTAAATTTTAAAAAACTGCCTATCATTTCAAACACCAATCCGGACCAGTCTGTGATTATGGACTTTTTCACCCACGTTGGAGGTCATTAAAAATCGTGATAAAAATTATGAGTAAACTAGATACATTTTGGGAACTCTCACAATTTACGGATTTAGTTTTCGACTTCGTATGATTTTTCTATGACTTTTCTAAAACAGGGCAGAAAGGTTAAAAAAGTTAGTTAACAGCATATAACTTTCATAATACTTTGTAGTATGTTGAACAAAGTGTATAACAATAAGTTCTAAATATTGAATGTGTTTCCTTGTTAGTTTATCATCATAAACTGAAACTTAGTCATTCATGATAAAATTATCCATTCATTTAGAACACGTATATTAAGCTATAATAAGCGTAATTTATGGATTCATAACACTAATGCATTTTCATAAAAGGGTTCTTATACATTACAAACGTTTTGGATAAACTATAATAGGTATAGTTTATGTATCATTTACTTCTCAAACTTATTTACCGAAGGTTTTCATTTTAGTTCACGTAAATTTGTTAATGAATAAATTTGTGAGTCATTTGCTTCGGGTTACTTCCAATGTAACCAATTCAAAAAGTCCTGTAAATTGTAACCATAGTCTCTTGTAGGGAGAACGTGATAGTTGTGTATAGATCTATATTGGGTTTGACAAACCCACACTAGAGCTGCTTGCAACAGCTAGACCGGCAGGTTTGTGGTGACAAGTGTCATTTAACGGCGACGCCTGAAGAACGTCGCATTACGAGGCCGTCTAAGTCAAGTATGGTTATGATAGCTCACATGTGGTATTAACAAATCATAAGATTTACGGGTTCTAACTTCAAATTAGTGATTTATGTCGATTTAGCTCACTGAAATTACTTTAAGTATGGAAAAATACTTGTACGTCTTCATATCAAAAAGGGTTTTATGTCGATTTAAAATCACTTTTTATATCAATAATTACATATATTGTTGTGTATTTTTAGTCTTGGCATTTAAGACTACACACCATTCATTACGGAAGTTTTCTCAAATTAGAAAGGGTTTTTACGCCAATTTTGAAACCACTTTTATATCTTTAAGTATGACAAATACTTGTTCATTTTCGGTCGTGGTATTTAGGACCACATTACACATAACTTTTATAAGGAAAATATTGGATTTTTCTTGGTAACATACATCTCTTTACAAAGATCGATTTTCAAACTCTTACTGTCAAAAGCTTAAGAACTCACCAGCCTTTGTGTTGACACTTTTCAAAACTACTTGTATTCTCAGGAATTCAGTGAAACAGGAAATCAACAACGTTTTGAGGATAGGACGATAAATCGTCAAACAGTTCATTTTGTATCATAATGTAATTGCTTCGAATCATGTAAACATATACTTTGGTGTAACTTTTTCAATTATATTTATGATAGTTGTATTTACTTTGAGCACTATTATACTTGTTGTTGTGATGCTCTACATGAAGTCCTCCACCCTCGGACGTTTCCGCCATCCTTGGTTTGTGGGTGTGACATTCTTGCAGTAGCCGCTTTCGGAATAGCATCATTGCTTTTGCCTTCTGGAACCACAACACATTCGAGATTTAAGATACCGATTTATCTCACCAGCAACAGATCATGCAATATAAAAAAAAAAAGACATCACTAGCGGATCTTATGAAACATACATCACTTATCATATGGGATGAAGCCCCTATGAGTGATAGACGATGCTTTGAATATCTTGATAGGTCTTTACGGGATGTACTTGACTGTGACGACAAGCTATTCGGTGGTATTTCAGTCCTTCTTGGTGGTGACTTTTGACAAACACTACCCGTTTTTCCAAAAGGCACACGATCCCAAATCATAGATCTTACACTACCAAACTCATATCTATGGAAGTTTTTCGACCTTCAAATGTTGACTCAAAACATGAGGCTCAGTTCCAATGAGGATAGCAATCCGCAGACAATGTCAACAGCCTTCTTTGTGGAATGGCTACTTCAAATTGGTGAGGGCATAGTCGGACGGCCTGATCCAGATGATCCACACGACACGTCTTTGATTTAGATCCCTCATTCATTGTTGATACCTCCTACGATGACTCACTACAACAACTGATACATTTCATATACGGCACAAAATTACTTAATGCTCTGACAATAATCAATCTATCAACACGAGCGATTGTCTGTCCAACGGTCCAACCAATGAAGCCACCAATAATATCAACAGCATGATCCTCAAATCGGTTGACACGGATAACAGGACATATAACAGTACGGATGCAATGGAACTGAATGGAAAGCACACATCAGATTTAGAGGGATTGTTCCCCATAGAATACCTAAATCAGTTGACTTTCCCAGGAATACCACCACACACATTGGAATTAAAGTTGAAGACACCCATAATGCTAATGCGAAACATCAGGCAACGAGATGGCTTATGTAATGGAACCAGACTAATTGTCACACAACTTCTGCCAGCAGTGATCAAGGTGACTATAATCACAGGGGCATCCATCGGACAACGATTCTATATACCTCGCATAAAGTTCATCCATAATCCATTAGATTTGCCCGTCTCCTTTACACGAAAGCAATTCCCTGTTAAATTATGCTATGCAATGACAATCAACAAAAGCTAAGGCCAGTCTCTGAAAAAAATCGGTGTTTACCTGTCTCAACCCATTTTCTCACATGGGCAGTTGTATGTAGCACTTTCTAGAGCAACTTCCCCAGATTCATTGAAGATCCTTATAGAAAGAGATGATGCTATGCCATACAACGAAACAAAAAATGCTGTATATAGAGACTTATTACAAAAAATCACTACAATTGAGGTGTCCCACATCATGACCGCATACTATCATCCCATTCATATCCTCATTTTACTATAGTCATTCAGTATTAGACACCAACCAATATTTATGTGTATTACAGATATGTAGTAAATTACAGAACAGATTATCATCTTTTACATAGGCTCATTATATCCATTTAAAATGGAAAGTTACTAGCACATTTCACCTACTGTCATAAATGAACAGCGAAGAATGACCAGCATATCTAAATTGAAGCGCGATGGAATTGGAAGTCCAATAGAATTAAGAATTGTTTGGAAATGGAGGCATGATGTCCGTCGATATGAAACCTGGTTTCTTGGGGTTGACAGATTTGTAAGTGAATAAAAAACAACGGCAATCCAATCTTTTATTAAGTGTAACACATATTGATTAATCAAAATTTCAACCATATTATTTCTCTTCCACAGGGAGATGCAATATAGATCCTAGGAAAACATACGAACCAATCATACATAGAATCGGTACTTAATGTATCGGAATGTTACACCATATCGGAATACAGTTGCCCTAAATTAGATAAATATCAAAAAGTATTGGAGAATGATTTTTACATAGATGTTGGCCTCAGCTCTGTTATAAAATCACTTGCAAATACAATAACCATCCCGACTACTTGGTTTCGTTTTTCTTCTAAATCGCAGCTAGCAGAACTTGGGGAACATCTACCATACTATCCATGTACTATCATAATATACCAAACCGCTTTCACTCATAGAAAGTAACCATTTATCTGTCCACCTTTTTAGATTTCATTGGTATGCTGTCCAAGATCAGAGACTAACAAAACATGATGGCCAACCGTATGTTCTTCTTATTCTAACCGATGACAGGTACATCTAATAACACGTAATATATCACCCTAACAAAATCATCTTAACACTGCTGACAAAATAATTTCTGAATCTTTTAGAGGCAGTGAGGTCCCAATAAATCTATGGAAAGAATGTTTTACGAATCCTATGAAATTCAATTGGAGTCTAATCACGCCACCCCCTGCTATGACAGTAGTAGCAGTTACAAATCTAAAACCTTCAGTTTCTGGAGGTCTGTCACACTTTTTTTTAATATATCATAACAACAATATGATACATGTTACTTATTACAATTTAAATTGTTATTGTAAGAACATTACGTCACGGATCATCACATGCTACGCATGTGTATGTAAATCCACAAATCCCAGAAACCACAAAATTGATGAATCTATGAACACTTAGAACCAACCAAAATATATAAATACATTTAACCCAAAAACAAGAATCACATCTACTTCAACAACATTGCAGGTATAGTGGTCCACATCAACCATTAACATCACCATCAGGGATACCAGCCAAGTTAAAGGAAATCAGAGAAAAAACACGATCGGAACTCCTGGTAAACCTACACAACCCTCAACCTAAACATAACTTCACAAGCGTTATAAACACTAGCAATGTTGGTTACATACAGGACAAAACGTTTTTTAGTGAAAGCATCCATTGCAGACATTGTGTTCCAGGACAAATGGTGTCAAATGATTTGTCCAACTTGTAGGGATCCAATCTTCAAAAGGGGAATGCAATGGTACTGCAGTGCACACTCGAAGATCGAAAAACCCATACTAACGTACGTACTGACATGTAACCCTACAACACACTATTGTATTACAAAACATAATAACAAATAAAAACATCGTGTAGGCACAAGTTGCATGTCACGATAAACGATCCAACTGCCACGATGTCAGCAATCATATCTAAAACATCATTTCGGAAACTGCTAAATTCAAACTCTGAGCATATAGTACACGTCAATATAGTTGTTGACAGAAAGACCTTACCAATGGTGATCAGTCAGCACATGGGGAAACAAAGAACAATGTCTATTCAAATGCTAAAAAGATCAATTGACGATAATGTACGGTTCATCATAATCGACATAGAGATACCAGTAAAAAGTCAACAATCAGCTGTTCCAGCAACTCCATCACAACCTCCAATAACAAGGTCCGCAGTGGAACACAGCCCCCCTATGTCAGACACAACCAGAGGACATATTGCACGTACCCTCACTTTTACTATAAACGGTACATACACATACATAAACACACATATCACTTTCATTAAATCTCCGTTTATGATATTGTTGGTTAACACCTTACAGATGAGCCGGCGCCTTCAGGAGATGTCAAACGCACCCGGAAAAAATAAACACGCACCCATAAAATGACACCCCGTTGGTTTGTAACCTGTTCGACTTTTGCTACGTTTAAAACTGTCAACAACTAATATTGTCGTGGTGTCTTAACCATATGTTAGTATATGTTAAACATATTTGCTTTTGGATTTATTTATTATTGTAATCAAATAGTAGGTTACCATATATGTCTTTAATATAGATGGTTTCCCACATATAGTATGCTTTTCTATTAAACAAAAATATATACCTTTCGTTTATTTTCTACATACACCAATTACATAATTTAAGATAGTCATGAATGAAGACGACAATGTTCACAAACAAAAAATTTATACGCAAAAACAAATATCCTAAATTCAATACAAAACAAAAATCATGCCATCACCCAATAGCCCCAAGGTCCAAAGGTTAAACTACATACTTCGCTTCCAAATAAACCGTTGATTACTACAACTTTGTGTTATGGCACAGGTTTTCCAAATATATAATCAGATTTAACAAAAATCATATAAAAATTTATTAGATACTTTTCCTTATTAAGACACTTCCAAAGAAACCGTCGATTATCACAACTTTGAATTATAACATTACCTTTCCAAATATGAAATTACATAAAAAAAATATTAGATACTTTATTTATAATGGGTCCAATGTTTAAAAATTAAATTACATGTTTCACTTTTAAAGAAACCATCGATTACAACAACTTTGTATAAATATCATATAAAAAATAATTAGACCATTTTTCCAATAACTAAATTGTGAGTTATCTTCTTTTCAAAATGATAACAAACGTGATAAACGAACAGACCAGCAAAATTTATAACATCTTTGCATAACAATGACATAAAAATATTAACCTTCACAAAAAAATTAGAATATTTAAGGGATAAACACCACCATTCTTACATCTAAACAACCACGTCAGTCCTAATTAGCCTTACATCACCTACAATAAATGCTCATAACAATCGATTGCAACCGGTTACGTACACAAAAAAAACCCTTCGCCCTTTCGCATCCCATTTAACACCCCTCTTCAACAGTATTCAACAGTCCCTATAAATCAATAAACCCCATAACACCTCCACGCCACATCCAATCACACTACCCATCGGAAAACGAAAAGCCAAACACCACTTCCCACAAAATGAAACCAGCTGAAATGGAAAACATCATTCATATGTTAATTGGCCAGGCGGAGGAAGAGTTCGCCGCTCTAACAAACCTCCAAAGCGATTTCTACTTCAACCAGGAGATGAAGAACGAACTGTTGGAGAACATGAGCCGGCGGCCAAAGTACACCAACTACCTACAGATGAAGGACCTCATCAACAACAGTACGTACGTGGCATCAAAAAGAATCATGGCGATTTACAGTCTAAAGAAGGACACTGAAACGACCATCCAGGAGCTCATGAAACTACTCAAAACACTTCCAGAAGACGATCAGCCATACATAGACCGGTCAACAACAACAAAATCACGAACTCTTTTGTCATCTTATTATCCATGATCTTTGTAAATCATTTCCTCTTTTGATGCTATGCTTATGAAGAGTTCCATGGTTCAGACTTGTATTCACCTCTAAGAAATATAATCTATCGTTTATGTCTATTCTCTCATTCCATATATAAACCGTAATCCCCACACATAGTAAACCACATGTGAAGCACATTTATGAACTTTTCTTCTCCTGGAAATTGTCTATTCCGTAGTCGGACACTAAACGGTACGGTCAGGTTTTGGACATAAAGTCAAAATTTTGTCACATTACTAATTGTCTTCAACATAAAAATAGATAAGAAAGCCCAATCATGCATGTATTCATCCTTAGTTGTAAAAAAATGTATAAGAGAGGACATTCGCATCTGTTCCATCCCCTCAACAAAGAGAAAACAACAAACAAAAAACGTTTAATCCGACCCCCGCATCGCGGGGGCTCCCCCTGTAGTTATCCATAAACATTTAAGCGAACAAGCACAACTTCTTAAAATTAAACAAAGTTTTTACCCCCAAATAGGACATAAAGTTGTTCTTAGTAATAAAACATTAAAAGACAATCAGAAGTTTTTCAAAGACAAAAGATAACCATTAAATAAATGTTCTAAAAAGTTCATCGTGGTTTCGTCCACCATGGCGCGTCATGTCTCTCAGGCTTGTACTTATGGTCAAGTTGTAATAAAATGTCGCCTTAAGTCATATAATTATTTAAAAATGAATAATAGCATAAAATATATATGGAACTATGAAGGGATAATGTCATAAAAACCCTTAAGTTTCATAGGAATTTGCGGTTTTACTCTCTAACATAATTTTGGTTCGTGAATGCCGCAAACTTGTAAAATAATTTGATTTTGCCCTTTTTATAGGTTCAGTCGGTCACTTGGTGGCAAGCCACGTAGGGGTTGAGTAGGACGGGCTTGTTGACATGTTAGCCACATATATGTTGAATGTTGTTTTATTCCTTTATTATAATTATAAAATTTAGAAAAAACTTCAAAAATAGTCAATGTGGTCTGCTGAAATCTGAAGTTTAGTCTCTAATTTATAAAACCTCAAAGATGGTCCCTGTGGTTTCAAAACTTTTAGTAAATGGTCCTTTTTGCTAACTCTGTTAGCATTTAGTCGTTAAGTGAAGGGCATTTCTATCATTTCACAACCACAGTGACCATTTATGAAGTTTTTCCTCATTTAATATATATATATATATATATATATATTATTTAATATTAAAGGGCCCCACCATCTCTTTCTCCTCTCTCTCTCTCTCTCTCTCCCTCTCTCTCTCTCTCACACACACACACACACACTCATACAGGGTTATAGTCCCTCCTTCTTTCAGAAGCTTCACCTCTCAGCATTTACTCCTCTGTTACTTCTCTAGTTCTCTCATCTCTCTCTATGTGAAGATTTTAAGTATTGATCCACAGAAAAGGGTTGTGTTCATAAAAAGTGTATTCATCGGTGCAATGTAGGTGATGTACGATTGGTTTCATGGGTTTAGAATAAAGGGTGTCAAATTAAATGAAGAAGCTTCATCAAAACAATTTGGGATCAATTGTCCTAGACCATCAATCCACCACTATTTGAAATGATGGTGGGAATTTCATCTTCTTTCTACGTCACCATTTACACCTCCGGCGATCTTCTCGTTGGAAAAGAAGAACTTTGTCACGAAAAAATCAAACCCTACACTCCAAAATGGGAACCATCCTCCATGGCCACCATCGACGAACTAACTCTTACACTAATGTTCTTTCTCAGATCCTTGACTATGAACCAATCGATTTCAATGGACATAACCAATTGTTTCTCTAAATCTATAGTTGGATTAAAAACCCATGATGAACTCACCATCAATTCTTAATCAACAAAACACAACAAAACCAATTTAAGATTTCTGGAGTTCTTCATCATTCCCGGTGGTGTTCATCATGAGTGTCCATTTTCCTTTTTAGCGGTTCCTATCAGAGCAGAAATGGATCTTCAAGTCTAAACTGAAAACCATAAAATTGGTTTGGATCTGATGCCTTCGGCAGATCTACAAGCTCCTTTGCTGAAGAAGAAGACCTCTTTAAATTGGATTTGGATGTGTCTCCTTCGGTGATTTCACGACCTTCAACTTCATCTCCTTTAGGTGTCTGTACACGGTCTCACCTAGCCACCACCAAGTTTCAGATCCACCCTGCCATAGTCGGCACCCTCTATTGAAAGCCCCTCAATCGTGCCTTCAGTTTATCCCAAAATTCATGTAACCATCTTGACCTCTTCCCATTTTGTTTTAGCTCCCAATTTTTACTCTACTGTCGACGAGATGAAAGGGTGGGAGTGTTTCTTTGATGGCAATGGTGATGTCGGCAAGCTCTAAGATGGTAAAGAACATATGGCTTCATATTTTTGCAAATGGGTCATAAACTGGGTATGGACGACATAAAGAGAGAGGGGGGGGGGGGCTCTTTAATATTAAATAATTCTATTTTTTTCTAAAATAAGGAAAAACTTCATAAATGGTCCATGTGGTTGTGAAATGACAGAAATGTCATTCACTTAACGGCTAAATGCTAACAGAATTAGCAAAAAGGACCATTTGTTAAAAGTTTTGAAACCACAGGGACCATCTGTGAGGTTTTTATAAATTAGGAACTAAAATTCAGATTTCCGGAAACCACAGGAACCATTTTTGAAGTCTTGTCTAAAATTTAAAAGCTTTTAAAAAAATGGGACATTGGGGATTCGAACCCACCTCCTCCAACTCAAAAAGCAAGGGACATACCACTAAGTTGCACGACGTTTTGTGTTCCATTACTCGAATGAATAATATATATTGTATATAACTAAAACAATCTATATTATTATTATTATTATTATTATTATTATTATTATTATTATTATTATTATTATAATTGTATACATATATTTTTAATTATGTTTTTAAAGGTATAACGTTGTCATAAGGGCATCCTTCTTCCACAGCTACCATCACACTTGACACTTAAATCAACAATATCGAGCTCCTTCTCCGTATGTCACAATAAAACTTTCTTGTATTATCTTGTTTTCATAATCATATCTTCATTTCTTCAATTAGGTTATTGGGTCACTTCTCAGTGTTGTTGATCACATCTCGATATTTCTTTCATCTGAGGGTTGGAATTTGTGATGCCACTCCATTCTTTTCTCAATCAACTTGCTTGGATCTTGAAGTTATCACTCATATGTAATAACATGAACTTGTCCCAAATAACCAACTTCAACTAGTTTCTTAATCGTAGATTTGGAATTCCAGTTCTTGTCCCATTTTACACTTTTACCAAAAGTCAACTATGTCCATTTTTAGCTAAATGTTTGTTAACAATTTAAATAGACCAATTCACTTCATTCCTTGGTGTTTCTAACCCATTAACAATGATACAAAAAGGGTATAAACTTAATTTCAAACATATATCAAATGTATACCAAGTAATTTCTCATTTTATACTAGTTGTTTGACTTTGATAGAAAAGTCAAA